GGCAGGGTTTGGGGGCCAGGCAGGGTTTGGGGGCCAGGCAGGGTTTGGGGCCGGGCAGGGTGTGGGGCTGGGCAGGGTTTGGGTTGGGCAGGGTTTGAGGACCGGGCAGGGTTCGGGGGCTGGGTAGGGTGTGGGGCTGGGCAGGGTGTGGGGCTGGGCAGGGTTTGCCTCTCTGGGCAGTCCCTGCTGGTTCTGGGGTGTAATTGCGCCGTTCCCTGGGCTCAGACTCCAGCCCGGTGCGGAACCCGGCGCCGTTCGGGGCGGAGGAGCCGGTGTACTCGACGCGCAGGGTGACCCGCAGCCAGCAGCAGCCCGCCCCCGTCACCCCCAAGAAGTACCCGCTGCGCCAGACCCGCTCCTCCGGCTCCGAGACCGAGCAGGTGGTGGATTTCTCGGACAGAGGTGCGTGCAGGGGAGAGCTCTGGGAAAAACCTCCTCCCAGGTATCCCCAGGGCTGGGGGTTGGAGCAGCTCTGGGATCCGGGTGTGTCTTTAAAAGCCTTTTCCTGGATTTGTGACATCCGTATCCGTCGTTATCCGTGTCCTTCTCCAGACACTAAAAACGCAGCGGATCACGATGAGTCCCCGCCTCGCACTCCCACCGGGAACGCCCCTTCCTCGGAGTCGGACATCGACATCTCCAGCCCCAACGTGTCCCACGACGAGAGCATTGCCAAGGACATGTCCATGAAGGACTCCGGGAGCGACCTCTCCCACCGGCCCAAGCGCCGCCGCTTCCACGAGAGCTACAACTTCAACATGAAGTGTCCCACTCCTGGCTGTAACTCCTTAGGTAATTCCTGCCTGGAATGTCCCACTCCTGGCTGTAACTCCTTAGGTAATTCCAACACGAAATGTCCCACTCCTGGTCTTGACTCTTCAGGTAATTCCAGCTCCAGGATCGATCCGTTGGGCTTTGCATTCCTGCTGTGGTATTATTCCAAGTTGAGTTATACACCCTAAAAACCATGGAGTTCATTAGGAGCAGGAATATTAAGGAGAAGTGGGATATGAAGCCTAAATGCAGGTGTATCTGCAGGGCTATTCCTGGAGGTGTTTTCTGCCTAGGAGTGATGGGGAATGACAGGATAAGGACCAAAATAGGAGGATGAGCCCAGGTGTGGGAGGAAAATGCAGAGTCTTGCAGGCAGGGAACTGATTTTTGCCAGAAATAGATTTCAGCCCCAAATTCCTGCTCCACCATACCTGGCTGCTTGCAGGGAGGGCAGCCTGAGAAAGATTTTCCTTCCTTTTACCACAAAGCAGGAAGTTTGCTCCTTCCATCCCACTGAGCCTGCTCGTGTGGGGGATCTGGGAGAGCTTTGAAACCTCTTCTTGATTATTTCTTATGAGTTGGGTTGTTTTTGTGCCCCTCTGCAGGACACCTGACCGGGAAGCACGAGAGACACTTCTCCATCTCGGGGTGCCCACTGTACCACAACCTCTCAGCAGATGAGTGCAAGGTGAGTGTCTGGCCTTGTTTTACCTTCTGGGGGATTTGTAGGACAAAAATGCCAAGGTTCAGAATTTTTGAACGGGAAGCAGAGCTGACACAGTGCACACAAAGCTGATGTCTTTGGCTGTGAGGCAGCAGCATTTGTGTGTCAAACCCAGTTGAGAACATTCACCTGGAAGAAGAGAGGGATGACAAGAGTTTGCTGCAGCACTGACGGGTGAATTTTGGGTTCCAGGTGCGAGCCCAGAGCCGGGATAAGCAGATTGAGGAGCGGATGTTGGCCCACAGGCAGGATGACAACAACAGGCACGCCACCAGGCACCAGGTGAAACTGGGAAAACCTCGGCTCCCACTTCCCAGAATCCTTGGGTTTAACCTGACCTCCCTTCTCCACATCTGTCAGCCGTTGTCACCTCCAGTGTGTTTCAGCAAAGGCAGTTCCTTGTCCCCTTCAGTGAGGAGCAGCCAGGGAGAGCAGCTCTGTCATGCCAGAGGAGGCTGCAGCGTCCTCAGGAGGAGCTTTGATGTGCAGGACGAAAGAATTCCTGCAGAACTGTAAACTGCAATTTGACTCTGACTAAACAGAAAAGAACCAAACCAGGGGAATTACATTTTTCAGCTCCTGAGTGTTGGATTTGAGTCAAGATGAGTCAGCTCTGAGCTCTTCCCATGATTAAGCATTCCATGAGGAGTGCTCCCTGTCTTGTGGGGCTGAGGTGCTTTGGCAAAGGCTGTGGTAGGAAGACAAATATCCTGCTTTACATACGTGTGTTGGGCCCTGTCATTAACAGAGGATTTGGTTCAGAGGCAGCAAACCCCATGAGATGAGAGCCAGGACACAGGTCCTTGGGGTGGGAATGGGAATGTTTGGAGTGGATGGAGCAGTGAAAGACCCCACCCCTGGTTTTTCAGGCCCCCACAGAGAGGCAGCTGCGATACAAGGAGAAGGTGGCTGAGCTCAGGAAGAAGAGGAACTCAGGACTGAGCAAGGAGCAAAAGGAAAAATACATGGTAAAAGCACTAACTTTGAATATTCCCTCCTTCCCCCCGGTCTGGAACGAAACCACTGAGCAGGAGTTTGGCTTTCCCAGTCATCCTGCAGCATTCCCAGCCAAAAAAGCTGCAAGATCCCGCAGCTTGGTAGCAGCCTGGCAGCAGAAGTGTTGTTTGGTTGTTCCAGGAGCACAGACAGACCTATGGCAGCACCAGGGAACCTCTCCTGGAAAACCTGACCAGTGAGTACGACCTGGAGCTGTTCCGGAGGGCGCAGGCACGGGCATCCGAGGACCTGGTGAGACTGAGCTCCCAGCAAATACACCTCACATTTGTGGGAATGTGGAAGTTTCTGGGGTTTGTGGTACTTGTGCAGAGAAATGTGAGTTTTTAGAGCAGCTGCAGCCCAGCCAGGTCAGCACAGTGACACCAGGACAGCGTTTCAGTGCCGCTCATCCCGAGGCACTTCCCGCTGGAAGCACAGCTGGAGCTGAGTGCTGCAGGCAGGAATGCTGCAGTGCCATTCCACAGGTGTTTTTGGGGAAAGAGTGGGCACCTTCTCCTGCTGGAAGGGGGGCTGAGGGCTGGTGGCAACAGAAGCCACCTTGGCAGTGGCCAGTGACTGAAATGGAGCTCAAAACCTTGTGTTGCTGAAGCTCCTGAGGCGCTTCCCAAAGCCTTATTCCACCTCCAGAGAGGAACCAAAAGAGCCTTTGATCCTTTCCATTTCAGTTGTGTATCTGAGGCAGAGCATTAGGCTGTGTCCTATCCCTGTGGATCAGGATTCACACCCATGACAAGGATTTATCATCCATGACAAGACATTCACACCGAGACATGGGCTCAGAAGACTTGAATGACGTGATTTCCCTGAGGAAAACGGGTCCCTTTTCTTCTGCGCCTGCTTTTGATTTGGTTTTTTTCCCCTTCCCAGGAGAAGCTGAGGCTGCAGGGCCAGATCACCGAGGGCAGCAACATGATTAAAACCATTGCTTTTGGTCGTTACGAGCTGGACACGTGGTACCACTCCCCCTACCCCGAGGAGTACGCTCGGCTGGGCCGCCTCTACATGTGTGAGTTCTGCCTCAAGTACATGAAGAGCCAGACAATCCTGCGTAGGCACATGGTAAGGGCCAGGCCAGAGCTCCTTCCTTGGGTTTCAAGTCTGATTTTAGCTTGTAAAAGATTTAAACCGTGGCTGGTGTAGCTCAGTTGCTGTGGGAGGTGAGAAGGCTGCGGGTTTCCTGGTCTGTCAGCAGCTGCTGTAACTGTTTCTGTGCTTACAACAGGAGCAGCACCCTAATTTTGTCCTTCAGAGAGTAGTGACAGCCTAATTTTGTCCTTCAGGCAGTAGTGACACCCTGATTTTGCTTTCCTGGCACAGGCAAAGTGTGTTTGGAAACATCCCCCGGGGGATGAGATCTACCGCAAGGGCTCCATCTCCGTGTTCGAAGTGGATGGGAAGAAGAACAAGGTAATGGGCTGGGACCCTCAGGAGTGTGGAGACAAGCTTTAAAATACAGCAGGCACTGCTCTTCCTGCAGGGAACCAGGGTGCCCCTGGCCCTCTCTCCCCCAGTCCAGGAGAGAGTCTGGGCTGTCCATTCTTTAGGAGTTTTGCTGCATTTTCACTGTGTTTGCTCCTCAGCCCTGTTGTGCCTCAGCAGTTCCATCTGCTTGGAGATGGGGGTGGAAATCCCTTTCTGAAAGTCAGTGGGGAGATTTCTGTGCTTGACCTCCCTCAGCAGATTGTTCCTGCCCATCTCCCATTCTCTGGAATACTCAGTCAAATTTGGGTGGCAGTGGGAAGCAGCCTGACTGATTAGCCCTGCCCTGAAGGGATCCCAAACTGCAGACTCAGCACCTCACTTGTGCCCTGTCCAGTTTTGTCCAGCCTCGAAGGTTTCAGAGAAAGGGACAAAAAAGCAAATCCCAGAGGCTGGAAGCTGGGAGGAGGCTTTCCCAGTTACCAGAGATGATTTTGGAGGATTGACACAGTAGAGAGACCCAACCTCTGCTCCCCTTCTCTGAGGGGGTGATGCTTTGGGCATTCAGGATCACAAACATCCACTCCCACTGGAAGCCAAGCTTTCCAAGTGCCATCTCAAAGGGAATTGTCTCCTGGCCCAGCTGCTCTGTCATTTCTCAGATGGTTCAGGACTTTTTCATTACTTCCTATGTACAGTTTTATCCACACTTTGGATATTTTACTGGAATAAACACATGTATCCTGCTCCTTTGCCTCTAGATCTACTGCCAAAACCTGTGTCTGCTGGCAAAACTCTTCCTGGACCACAAAACACTGTATTATGATGTGGAACCCTTCCTCTTCTATGTCATGACAGAAGCTGACAACACTGGCTGTCATCTGATAGGATATTTCTCCAAGGTGAGTGGAAAACACACACACCTTCATTACCCACCTCACCAAAATGAGGTTTAGGACCCCAGTTGCCAGCACTGAATCCAACCCCCTGAGTTTTTGCAGTCTCAGGGTTTGCTGTGGTGATGTGATGCAATGCACTTGTTCAGATACTTCAGCCAGAGAAATTCCATAGGTAGGAGAGTGCTCTGCCAGATTAAACTGTGTGGGTGAAATCACCTGAGTCAGAAGTGAATAAAGAGCTAAAAATAAATGCTCTGAAATAAAATCTGCAGGATCTGATCCCATCCCTGGGAGTGTCCAAGGCCAGGTTGGAGCACCCTGGGCTGGTGGGAGGTGTCCCTGCCCATGGCAGGGGTGGCACTGGAGGGGCTTTAAGGTCCCTTCCCACCCAACCCATTCCATGATTCCATGAGTCTACAACGCCATGACCCAGGAGTTTGAAGCCATCCCAGGATTAAAACTGTGCAGCAAACACCCAGTTTAATGGCTGGTACAGTCAGACACCTGACCAGGCTGGTGGCAGAATTGGATCACGTTCCTGGGTGTCAGGCAGGTTCTGCTGCTGTCCCTCCTTTCCCTGGTGTTGGATCAGTCGCTTGGGCTTGTTGGGATTATGGGATCCCCACTGTTTGCACACCCCTAGGCCTGTTCATCCTCCCTGCTCTTTGTTTTTCAGGAGAAGAATTCCTTCCTCAACTACAACGTCTCCTGCATCCTGACAATGCCTCAGTACATGAGACAAGGCTACGGCAAGATGCTCATCGACTTCAGTGAGTGGGGAGGGAAATTCTGAGGGATTCCACCAGCCAGTCTCACAGATCTGGTGGAGGTTCAGCACTTTTCGTGGTTTGGGCAGTTCAAAGAGGTTGTTTTTGATGTTTTCAGGTTATTTGCTGTCTAAAGTAGAGGAGAAGGTGGGCTCTCCCGAGCGGCCCCTCTCCGACCTGGGGCTCATCAGCTACCGCAGCTACTGGAAGGAGGTTCTGCTGCGGTACCTGCACAACTTCCAGGGCAAGGAGATCTCCATCAAAGGTGAGCTTTGGAGCTGAGGGAGCCTGGACTGGTCCACTGTGCATCCCCCTCAGCCACGAGGCGGGTGTTTGTGGAGCAGCACATTCCTGGAGTCGGGAATGGCCCCTTCCCAGCGCTGCCACCACTGGGGATGAGTCAGCTGCAGTGTTTTGAAAGCATGTGTTGGCTTCTTCTTTAAAACCCATTTGTGAAAAGATTCAGGAGAGAGCTTTGTCTGCCTGTACGTTGGGGTGTTAATTTTAAAAAGAAAAATGGCTCCAATATTAAGAATATTTGGACTCTTAGTCTGTTGGTGGCACCTGGGAGTGTGTGGCACTTCGTAGGGTTATCAGGGTAGTCCTGAAAGGGCAGAACTACATCTTCCAGAGGATTGCACCTTATTAATATGAATCCTGACATTTATATCACTAAAGCAGTGCAGTGCTGGATGTACCTCCCCAGTCCATGCAGGGAATTTCCTGTCTCTTTTCCAGAGGAGTTACACAAAACTCCCAGTTAAAACCCAGCAGTTTGGGGGCATTGTGGAGGGACTGATTCCTGTTTTAACAGAACTGCTGCTGTTTTGCAGAGATCAGCCAGGAGACTGCAGTGAACCCCGTGGACATCGTGAGCACCCTGCAGGCCCTTCAGATGCTCAAGTACTGGAAGGGAAAACACCTGGTCCTGAAAAGACAGGTAAGCTTGGGGAGGGTTATCCCTGTGATTTTATTTAGCTGGTAATTATGAGCTTGCTGAAATCAGGGTTTTCTTTGCTGGGTTTTTTCCAGCCTTCTCATTCCAGTGCGGGAGAACTGGGATTTCCAGACAAAATAGGACTTGGGTGTCCAACCTGATTGTTCAGCAGTGCAGAAATAACCTTTACTGCCCTGCCTTTGGTGTGTGGGATAACATTGCTCACTGTGAGTGGCTTTTTGTGGGAGCAGTGGATCAGCATTCCCATCATGGTCCTCGCCATGGCTGCCCTTCACTGGGCACGTGGATGACATGGAATATCCTGAGCTGGGAGGGACACACAGGGATCATCCAGCCCAACCCCTGGCCCTGCCCAGGACACCCCAACAACCCCCCCTGTCCCTCAGAGCATTGTCCAAACCCTCCTGGAGCTCTGGCAGCCTTGGGGCTGTGCCCACTGCCCTGGGGAGCCTGGTCAGTGCCCAACCAGCCTCTGGGGGAAGAACCTTCCCAAAATCCAGTCCAGACCTCCTCTGACATACAAGTGAATGGAATTAATGGAATCCTGAATGAGTCCTGTTTGTTCCCTCACCAGTGGTTTATAAATCCCTAAATTTGCCTGTTGTTTTCCCCTCCCTGGGACTTTGTCAGTGGGGTTGAAGGGCTTCTGGAAAGCTCTGTGGAGGAGTTGTTGTTGTTTTGGTGTTATTTTGAGCAGTGGGTGGGTGAGTCACCTTCAGATCTGTGGATTTGGGTTTGTGACACTGTGCTGGGGATAATTCCCTGCCTGGACCACGTGTTCTAACCTGCCCTGTCCTGCTGTCCCCCCAGGACCTGATTGATGAGTGGATAGCCAAAGAGGCCAAGAGATCCAACAGCAATAAGATCATGGATCCCAGCTGTTTGAAATGGACCCCTCCCAAGGGAACCTAAGTGTCCCTCTCTCCTGGAGCCAGTGACCCCCAGCAGTAGAAGTTCCCCTGGGATCTCTGTGTGTCCATTGCTGTTGTGGTGGGCTGGTGCAGTACCCCAAACCCCAACACATCAGCTCCCCCTGGGACTGGCCTGGCCTGGATCGTTGTGCTCCCACAGTTCTGAGGAACTTTGATGTCTCGGCCTCAATGAGGTTGCAAGGATTGGATCTGTAGGATTGGATCTGTAGGATTGGATCTGTAGGATTGGATCTGTACCGGACCCCCAGCAGCGCTGGCCCAGGAGCTCTGACACTGGTACTGTACCTGTCCAGCCACTGGTCTCACCCTCCTGTTCCTGCTCCAGTGAGCTTGTGTCGTGTCCTGTGAGCCAGTTGTTCCTTCCCTCAGGTTCCTGGAGCTCTCAGCACTGCAGTGACTCCTGTGGCTTTTGGACAAGGTCAGATAACTGGGGAGGGTCTGGTTTTCCACTGAGCTGCAGTTACACCAGCTGCAGTGTTTTAGCCAGTCCTGGTCCATTCCAGGCCTGAAAGAGTTTTGGTGGGATAATGTTTCACCTCTTCCAGCAGTTTTCCATAGGTCTTTTTGTAGTTTATGATGTACAGGCAGAACTTGCCTGTACCTGAGTGAGGTGCTGAGTGAAGGCTGAGGGTGTGAGAACACCCTGCTCCGAGATGTTCCCATTATCCTGCAGCTCCCACATCTGCTGGAGAGACCCCTTCATTGTAATTCCTGTTCTTCCTCCTTTATCTCTTGGAGTTAGTGAGTCCCTTTACAAACAGTGTATTTAACTGGAGACACGTTTCCCAGAGCAATCCTCCTTGAACTGTGGCTCTCTCCGTATTGGAGAGGGTTATTTTTTCCCCTCTAGACTGAAGAAACAAAAACTTTGGACAGATTTTTGCTGGCCTTGTCCAAACAGCCACAGAAACTCCAGGAGTTGTTGGGCTGCCCAGGCTGTGCTCCAGGGAGCTGTGGGATGGGTCATCCTCTGGCAGTGCATCCTTGTTTCTCTTTGTAAAACAAACAGAAAAAAATAATAAGCTTTGACTTCCTCTCTCCCACCAGCACCACCAGAAGAAACTCTCCTGCAATGGCTTCCCAGTATAACCACTGTCCTTGTGCCACCTCTATGGCTCCAGTGTGACTAAAATCAGGGACAAGCTCGGGGTAGGGGCTGGGACCATCCCAGTGCTGATTTCATGGAACCTTCCGGTGCTTCCTCACGGAACAGGCTCTGACATGAAGCACTCGCAGTGTCCTGGCAGGTGGGAGCCATTCCCTGTTAACCACTGCCCCATCCTGGCCTGGAAGAGTTCTCTCTTGCTCCTCTGTTGGTTGTCTGTCCTGGAAAAAAATTAAAAAAAAAAAAAAAGGAAAAGAAACTTCCTGCTCAGTCCCCAGCATGGACCTTGTGGGCATTACTGAACCTCCTGTCTGTGCCCTGCTCTGCACTGTCACTGACACAGATCCTGACGGGATATCCAGGGAATTAGACCCCTTGGGGAGTAGGGAAGAGGGCCATCCTCCTGCAGCAGCTGTTCCCTGTCCCCATGGTGTGGTAGAATGTGCTGTCCTGTTCCTGCTCCTCAATAAAGCATGTTCTCTGCTCCGCCCTGGGCTCGGGTTCCTGATTTTCCCACTGAGGGGAAGCTCATTCTGGAAGCCTGAGGGGCTGATTTTCACCCCCTCCCTGGTGCTTTAAGGGTTGGGGCTGGAGCTGCCTCGGGGCTGAACCTTTCCAAAATATCCCCAATTTTTGATGGCTCTACAGCTCCTTGTGCACAGGAGGAAACTGTGAGGAATATCTGGATGTTGCCAGATACTGGGAACTTAAATATTTGGGATTCTGTCCATCAACATGTTTCTGTGGGTTCCACCCCTGTTCCAATGCTTTACCACCCCTTCCATGGGGATCTGGTATCCAACCTAAACCTACCCTGGCACAACTTGAGGCAGTTGTTGGTACAATAAGAGGTTTTTCCCACATTGGGACAAACTTGTTCCCGCTTTTCCTTCCCTGAGATCTCCCTGCACCTCCAGGAGCTGCTCTGTGGGTGCTGCTCCTCCCAGCTGGGCACTGACAGTTCTGGCTCCTCCTTTCTTGGTGGAATTGTTTGGGGCAGGATGTGGTTGTGTTGTGGAAGGAATAGGTGGTTGATATCCCTATAAAGAACAGGAGAGGGAAAGAGGGAAGCAGGAAGGAAAGGAAGCTAAATATGTCCAGTTACTTCAGTTGTTTCTATTGTGATGCCTGGGTGACTGAGCTCGGTTTAAACCCCTCTGAGACAGTCCCTCTGCCAGTAACTCCGCCCTCCTGGTGTTCCAAACCCATGGAAAGAGCTGGAACACCAACCTCTCGCACCAGCTCACAGGCCAGGGCAAAAGCAGCTCTATTTTTGGGAGCATCCCCTGTAATTAACTCTGCTTTTTGTCCCCTGCCCTGGGCCCACACGGCACAGAAACCACCCAGACCTGGGTCTGGCTCACGGCAAAGAGGGACACAACAAAAGGGAAAGAAAACATCCCCAGGAAACCAGTGGATCCCAGAGGCTCCTGTGAGTTTTCTACAATAGATTTCCAACTCCCAAGAGCTGCTGGACTGGACCTGACACCCTCCCCCAGCACCACCATTAAAGCCTGGGCTGAACAGGGGGGGAACACTCCTGGATTTGGGCCTGCTTTGCACACACAGACACAGGGGGGGTTGGGAGGGGCCCTAAAGCCCATCCAGGGACACCTCCCACCAGCCCAGGCTGCTCCAGGTTCCATCCAACCCGGCCTTGGACACTTCCAGGGCTGGGGCAGCCACAGCTTCCCTGGGCAACCTGTGCCAGGGGCTCCCCCCCTCTGCCCTTCCCACATTCCTTCATTAACCCACTCCTGGGACACCCTTTCCCCTGCCTGACCCTGCTCGGGCAGGGAACTGGGAACAGGAAGCTCCAGCCCCGCTTCTCCCACCTCTGGAGCCACAGGGTGACCCCCTGGAGCAGCTGGGAAGAGCAGGATGTCATGGAGCAGCTGGGAAGAGCAGGATGTCATGG